TGTTATTCGGAAAAATTGGTCGCGCGAGCTGGATGCGCGAATGCTGAAAGATTGACGCAAGTAACACGTGATTTTTGTCGTTTCTCTTGAGCCTTTTTTGGTGTTGCGCGATCACACGACGGTCACGTTGTAAACGCAAAGTCGGCCAAATGTTTTCGTAGCTGATGGCCTTTTAGAATTCCCTCTTCTGTCACCGCCGCCACGTGCTGTCATCCCACGGTTCCCCTTCCCAATAATCCAGTCCTCCGCCCATCATGTAGCAGCCTATTCGCGTTTTAGCTTTTAATTAATTTTCGATTCCGTGCCCGACCGTATCCCGCCTTCCATTGTCTTCTCCATCCGCCACGTTTCGTCTCTATGAATATCAAAGTAGTCGTCCGATCCTGCGACAAGCTTACCATTTTATGGCGCTCTCTCCTTTTTTTTTCTTTTGTGTACGATATATCAAGCCCAAATGATTTTAAGAATCTCCCACCGCGTTTCGCCATCAACGATCCTATATACTATTTCTATATATTTATAAATTTTTTTTATATGTATAGATAAATATTCATTATTTAATAATTTTTCTGGAATGACTGTTATAAGAAAGTTAAATTCATGACGTGTGTGCAATATATTTTTTCCTCGGCCATGGAAATATAAGCCCCAGCTCTGCGGTTTAACGGTCGACCTGCGCAAAACCACGAGAGAAAATAACGTCGAGTTACACGGTGTGTCTACCTCAAACAATTGTTAATATTTTTTTCCCAAACGAAGATGATTTGACAAAACCGTGGTAAAACCGCGATTAAGGGATGGTGCGAAAACTTTGCATGTCGACACCGGTGCGTTGTTTGTTATTCAGTCGCCCATACATGTAATTGCGATTAATTACCGTCAGTTCCTCTGGCATATCAGTGATATGTTGTACCCGAGATAAATTCCCGGCGCCGTATTTCAGCAGCAACGGGCTTCCCGACGTTATCTGAATCGGACATGTACATTTATTTGTATAATTTACCGTATAAGCTCTTTCCCGCGCGAGAGTCTAGATATACGCTGAGGGGTAATAAGTCAACGTAATAACGTGCGTCAACAAACGTCATTAATTATTTTCGCATCATTGCGTAGTTTGTCGCGCACTGTTAATTACGCATTTCAATTACATCTAATAACATAATAAATTATCTTTTTGATAGATTTAATAGACTCTTTTTTTTCTCAGATATATTTATACTATATATACAAAAAAAAGAGAAAAAAATTATTCAATTAGCTAAAACTAGTTGTTAATATTCTTTTCGTAGCTATTCTCGACAATTTCTAATTCCTCCTTTAATGCTTGAATAATGAAATACATGAAACTGTGAACGCAAAATATTATAAGTTAAATAAATAATTTACAAACAAAATTGATAAATAAAATATATACACGGATATTCCAATTCTCGATTACGAGAGAAAATCATTTGCCATGCGTCGCCGACGCATATACGAGAGCACTGACGGATTACGGCATCGGATTGTGCATGAGAGAGATCACTGTGAAATTCTGTTAGTGGTCCATTGACTTACGCGGATCTCGACGAAACGGTGAAACGCGGCGGGCGCGGAAGAATCCAATAAACGCAAAACGAATTTGCTATTAGGGTCGCGTCTGATCTCATTGCAGGCCAATGAGGCGGAGCAACCCTTATATCAACCCTCCCGGTATCGCGTCTCGCTGACGATAATAAATCGAATCATACTCCGGGAGTCAGCGGGTGTTTGCCGAGCCATTAGGGTCGCTTAGCTAACTGTCTCTCCTCGAAACGACCGGATACGGTTGTCAAGATTTTTCGTTCACGTATATTTCAATCGAAATGTTTTTACGCAATCTCAATTATTTTTATTTATTATCGCAAAAATTTATTTTATTGCAAACTAATGCACGATATATGAGACAAAAATATTGGAGACCCAAATATTTCAAATTTTATTATATACTCTTAAATATAATACGAGAGCGATAGAGAGCATTCGTTCGATCGCGAGAATATGACATTGTTTAATTGCATAGTTTAGGTTTGAATCTCACGCTTAAAGTCCTCAAACGTCGAATGAAACGTACAAAGTGCGATGAACTTATTCTCTCTATATCAAGGAAGCTAAGAGTTATAATCGGGCAGCCATTGTTTTGGTTGGCGAGAAGTGCCTGGCTTTCACCGAGCCGATGCTAAAGGCCATCGTTAACAGCAGTAGCACTGACGCCCACTCGACAATCAGAACGTTCTCTCGGAGAGCCAGTCTCCTACCATCAGTAGCGAAAGCCAGTGACTATATACACTGAAAAGACTTTCAATCAAATGAGATTTGTTCGATGGATAATTCAATTGCGTGTAAAGGCACCGCACATATATAGCATATGGATTTGGATATATATATATATATATATATGTATATATATGTAATAAATATTAGCTTAATATAATTGTGACATTAAAGTGAATGCGATATGTTCTAGAATGATATATGATATCGATATATTTATCACTAGCATTAATTTGTCTTGACTTTATCTATTGACTGTCATCCATATAGCAAATAGTAGTGCAAGAGAGAAAAGCTTAATTGAAATATCGCGTTTTCGATTCAAATTTAAAAACATAGAAACTATAGAGAGAAACCATTAGAAAAAAGAAGGAAAATTCATGATAAAATAATATAATAGTTTGCGTCCTAAATATTGCACATATCAATAATTTTTATAAAAGAACAGGGAAATATTATAAAAAAAAGTTTCTGTTTATCTCTTACTCATCTATATACAAAGCATTATTGGTATTATAAATATTATGACGTCGCGCGTAAACACAGACCAATTGTGTTCTCTTCTTCGGATATCATCAATCGATGGATGAAGCTATGTTATCCCAAGAACGATTGTTTTACTCGAGAATTTCGGTGTACGTGTTTACAATAATCAATGGCGAGGGTGGCGAGATACGTATCATAGATCGAACGATCGCGGGTGTGTCGTGTCCGTCACACGAAGCGATGGCGGTAATTCCGACCACCGTGGAGTTTGTACATTGTGAGCTCAACGCAATCTATTCTGAGGATCTACTACGGTGCCATACTGGTAGCCCACTCGACCAGTTCGTTAGCCAATCACACAGGCATCGTCGTCGTCCCGGGCTCTCGTCTCGAACCCGAGAAGGGCAGCCGCAGAGATGCGACTGATACGAGACACTACGTTTCCTCCTTCTGGACTGCTCCTTCCTTCAAAGCTTCGGTCGCATTGCAATCGTCGCTCCCATTGGTTCGCGTCGAAACGCATTCGATCGAGTTACACGAATACATTAATTTGACCGTTGACGTATATATGTTTGCCATTTTATGTTTTAAGTTTTTCTCTCTTGAGAATTATTTATGTCAACATTCTGCATGAACAAAAGTCAGATACGAAGACGATAATCAAATTTTTATTCATGTATATGCTAGATATGAAATATATGTAAGAGTTAATGTTGTGATTGTGATGTGTACAACTATTATTGTATGTGTTTTCAATTCACGACTTTAAAAATACTGCATTGCCTTTTCTTGTTCTTCTTCGTCATCTCTTTTTCACTGAAGCAAACTTTCTCCTTTTTATGTTACGATGGTCTTTTTTTTGTCGTGTGTGTCCCGAGTTGAGTAGAACGTTGAAGCATGGCGGATAAAAGGAATGGAAAAGGAAAAAGAGAAAGCGTCGAACGTCTCGTAAACAGCTGCCTCGTGTGTCTCTCCCGAGACTTAATCGATAACGAATGACAATTACAGACGTATACCTCGCGAAAGGCAGGGCTTCACCGATCTCTCGTGAACGACCCTACATTCTCTCCATTATTATCTAGTCGGAGGCCTATAAAGATTAGAACACACTTTCGAAAAGGAGCTTCTATTTTTTGCTCCCTCTCTCTTGTTAACGTGTCGCGAATTCCCCGAATAAAATAACGTCAATTCGAAAATTCGGTATATAAAATATTGTATACTTCGTGATCGGCGGCCTCCCTCGTCGATTCCCCCCTACGTGAAATTCCACCATTTCGCCTGCGACTTTACGATCCGGCTTCCAACCCGGAGACACTGGCGAGGCGCAATTTTCCAGGCGCTCCCTTTTTATTGGTTCGCGACACGAGGATACGCCGTGTATACTCGTCGAGAGAGAGAGAGAGAGCCTGGTATCGTCATTTTCAGCGGCAGCTGGGAGCGAACCGCGACTTCGGTCCTCCTGGATGCTCGTGTATTCCGGGGTGTACTTCCCTCCCTCCGCGTACCCCTCTCGCCGGCACCCCCGTGACCCCCTCATAAGCGGATTACGTGGGTCCCGAAACGAGCCAAGCGAGGCTCGATGGCACGAGGAAGGTATAGTCGTGGGGTGAGTCGTCGAGGGGAAAGGGGGGGGGAGGAGCTGTTCAAAATTACGCTATCGCGGCCTCGCAACGCTCGCACCCCTCCACGTCTGATCTCCCTTTGCAACAACCCCCGTCTTCGTGGAAGACACCGACGTCGAAGGCGTTCCATATTTCGAGACACCGTCATCGATGGCCCGATTGGCGAACCTATATTGAGGTTTCGATATCTATGCATTCGTTCTTTATTTCTCCTCTCGCATATCTATATTTTGTATGTATTATATATATATTTATGTAGATAGATCTATGAGAAACTCGCGTTTCTCCTTTTAATGATCTCTCGTTTAGTATCGTATATTATATGTGGATAGCGGATATTGCTGCGGAGTTTCTTTAAGCAAGAGTACGCTTTTACACGCGTTCAGGCGTTTTAAGATCGTTTAAATAATCGCGTTTTATGCAAAAAATATATAAAACGGCTTCCTCGCGCTATGAAACTATCGCAAGCGGTTTAACGAACTGGAATCGATCTAATGATCGAGTCTATAAGCGAATCTTTTAATTATCTCTTGCGAATGAAATTTCTTATCAGATTTATACGAGAATTAACAACGAACGCATTCTTTTCTCGTGTTGCAGGAATGAATCAACGTAAACAGCGTCGCGAAAGGACGACCTTCACCAGAGCTCAGCTGGACGTGTTGGAGGGGCTATTTCAGAAAACGAGATATCCAGACATCTTTATGCGAGAAGAGGTTGCTCTTAAAATCAACCTGCCAGAGTCGCGAGTCCAGGTAATTATTTTGGTTTTTTTTCAGCTCTTCTCTTCTCTCTTTCTCTCTGTTTTTGCAGATTTTATTCCTTCTAGAATATCGCTGTGAAAGATGTCGAAATAATAACAAAGATAGGTCCTACGAACCTTCGCTTTTCGCAAATAATCCGAGATTGCATTCATTCCAGATTGGTGCAATTTCGCGTGCCGCATATATTAACGCAATATGCTTTGAATATCGGATTTAAAGCCATTACATTCTTTGCGCGTTAACTGTACGATGTAAATCGTGGTGAACGAAAGGAGAAAAGGAGAGCAAGGATGAGGAAGAGGAGAAGAGAAAGAGAACGCGCGTGCTTCGTGCTTCAGCAATCGCGCGCGAGATTTAAGGTATTTACACAGGGCGGGTTTGCGCCCTACGTCGTTCCATTTCGCCATTGTCCCAACCCCGACGCCTTCGTACATTGATAGATGTGCCGACGAGCTCGTTGACGCTTTTATTGCGGTTCTCGTGACATCTTTATTTCGCGGCGGGGCGTTACTAAGTATCGCGATTCCAAGCTCGTGTCTCGAATTTCAATCGCTCTTATCCCATACGCTCTATACACATATACGGTGCATTCAAGTGTCAAGAGAGAAAAATCATTGGATTTTGGCGAATGAAATATCAGATCGAATTTGATAACAGATTTTATTAGATAGTTTCATAACTTGCTACGACTGCCTTTTTTCTATTTTTATCCCCGTTTGCGGCATCTTTCGCGATATCTCGCAATTAGCGAGTCCCGTTGGAATCGTGAAATATATGGGACAAAAGCGCACAGAGATTCAGTTCCGGGAGTTTCCGCGCGAAGTTAAGCCGTCACGAATGCGGCAGCGCAACTGCAAAAGGGTGCATCGCGTATATGCGTTTGCGCACGTATACATGGAAATGCGATGCGGTATATTCAATACATACGTGTGCGAGAGAAACGGCGTATATCTACACGAGCGAATGACGTCTGGAGAAGAGGGAGCTATCTGAAAGTTTTAAAGGCCACGCAGGGGGATTCGCGGCAAAAGACAGCAAAGTGGGGTGACAGACCATAGCCGTGCGTACGGATAGAGGTACACGCATGGTAGCGAGGTACAGCATATCGTTGATTTGTTCGTGGATTATAGCCCCTGCGCTACTCCATCTCGCTCGCGAGAGCGTTCTCGTCGAGAGAACCACGCAGCTGCGTACGATGCGGATGCAACGCGGCTCCGAATATACGTTGGGTTCTCGCTCCTTTTCGTCGCGTCTACTAATTGAGAACGAATCGAAAGATGTTGGCGTCCCTCGAAGGGGAACCACAGCAAGACGAAGAGAAAAATCAGCCGAGATGATTTTGTGTCAATCGGATCGTGACGTTACTTGCTTCTCTTCGCAGAAAAAAACAGTATCCTTGAGAGAATGCAAATATGCCTTGATTCAAGTATATTTTATCCTTATAATAACGCCGAATATAAATAATTTTGGATAAAGGATAATTTAAGCGGCACTTTCAAATATTATATAATAATTCTTAGTTCAAATGTGACTAAGTTTGTTTTTACCATATAAATAATTTTGGATAAAGGATAATTTATCCTTAAAACAAAGTGCAAAATATTCTTGGTTGAAGCTGAAATTTACTTATAAATATCGCAAGGACAAGTGTGCATCGGATATAAGCGGTACTTTCAAATATATATAATAATTCTTAGTTCAAATGTGACTAAGTTTGTTTTTACCATATGCGATTTTTAAAACAAGAATATATCTTAAGGATAAAATATACTTTACACAAACTTATTTATTATTAAGGCAAATGAAAATTTGGGATTACAAAAAGCATTCTATGCTTAAATCAATCAAATAGCGTTCGAGAATAAAAATATACTTGAATCAAGGATTCCTTTTTTTCTGTGTTGCATTTCGGAAAAATATGCACGGTGTTCTTGTATATTTTTTTCATACACATGATTATTAGAAATTTAATTAACATTTTAATTTTTTATAATGGTAAAATAAAGAATTTAACGTCAAGAGATTTATATATGGACAATTCCAACTACTATCGCATTACTATTAAAATATATATATATATATATATAAAAAAAATAGAGAAACAAATATAAATGTAAAATCAATAATCTACACTTATTTTTACAATTTAAATATTGAAAAGAGCATCGATACTTTTATGACGCACAGAACTCATCATTACGTTCACATTAGCAAACAATGCCTGCGGCTCTCTCGCGCGCTGTTTTCTCCATCGATCGTCTGGCTGTCGGACGATGACACGTTCTCTGGTTTGTCGAAGAGCGGGGTGTCGTATTAATAGTACAAATAAGAAAATATATTTGTCATAACAGAGTGTCAACGCAGCTGCGCCGCCTCCCGCCCTGACCAGCGGGGCGGTTTTCCGTTCGCTGGATGTAAACCAGATGGTGGCGCAATTTGCACCTCGGTTCTCGCCGATGGTCTCTCGATGTGTACGAGCGTGAAACCGTCAGTGGTTGCCCCCGGGGGTCCCATCGCGGCCTGTTTGGTTGGTTTTTGGGGTTCTCTCTTTCTCTCGCTCTCGTCGCTTTTCAAGGGGGTGTCGTTGTGCAAACACACCGTTATATATAATGGGATCGTTCTCTGTCCGTCGCGCTAACCCTGACGTAGATCCGTCTTCCTCGTTCCGCCCGCGTTGACACGCAATATCCGCGCAGATTTTCGCGCCCCATCGCGCTGGATGACTCTTGCGAAACGAGGTTCCGCCTCGCGCGATACCGCAGAGAAGCGGAAACCGAATAAACAGAGGACGAATAATTAGAGTCACACTTTCTGACTTTGGCGGGTCTTGGAAAATTCAATCGCGTTTAATTACCGCGGATTAATCACGATGTATTAAGAGAAAATAATGTCTAAAACTACATAATAATATTGAATATAAATTACAAATTAATAGAATATTTTCAACATATTAACTAATTATAATAATATTTCTCCTCGTTATATTTTTAGTATAAAAATACTATAGTAAAGGAACTTGTAAGAAGCCTGAATATATTAATAATTTCTGCGGATTTAATTATCGCGGATTAATCACGATGTATTAAGAGAAAGTAATGTCTAAAACTACATAACAATATTGAATATAAATTACAAATTAATAGAATATTTTCATACAACATCTTAACTAATTATAATAATATCTCTCCTCGTTATATTTTTAGTATAAAAATACTATAGTAAAGGAACTTGTAAGAAGCCTGAATATATTAATAATTTCTGCGGATTTAATTACCGCGGATTAATCACGATGTATTAAGAGAAAATAATGTCTAAAACTACATAACAATATTGAATATAAATTACAAATTAATAGAATATTTTCATACACAACATATTAACCAATTAATATAATTTATAAAAACTCTTTAGAAAATTTTAATCTACAAATAAAAAAGGCAATAAGAACTACATAAGTTCTATACTAGAAATATATTTGTGAAACGATTTATAACATAAATTATTAAAAATTATACAGAAGTAAGTTCAATTCGTCGTACGTTTCGGTTGTCTTTTCCAACCTTCTTCAGCGCAATAATAATTAAAATATTAGTATAAATTAACAATAAATTATTCTTCAATGTCGTTATAATAAAAATAAAAATGTCCGGAGTCAAGTAATATGCTATTAATCAATTATAATAATATCTCTCTTCGTTATATTTTTAGTATAAAAATACTATAGTAAAGGAACTCTTGTAAGAAGCCTGAATATATTAATAATTTCTGATTCCGCCGAGATATATTTAAAAAATGAACGCTACAATATTTGAAACGCGCGCGCGAGGTAATACTTGACGAAGGATCAAAGTTTGCGTCTATTTTTCAAACATTGTCGAGACAAAAGGCGAAAGGATTGGCTTCTACCTCGCGAACGACGTATGTATAACATATATGTACGCGCGGAACAAGCGTGGAGCATGAAAATCCCTCGCTATGCTTCGGCGATTCGCGCTCTCCGTAACAACTGTTACAATGCCGCCGATAATAACAACAACGATGACGGGTCCTGCTTTTAAAGGCGCGGGCATAGATTCATAGGATCGCACCCCTGGCCACATTGTGCCCCGACGGGATTATAGGGGGATGCGTGAGGGGGAGTATTACGCGGGACGAAGGAGGAGAATTGGGGAAGGGCAATCACAACGCACTCGCAAGCTTGTGGCCTACGAGGGTCCGCTGCTTTTTGTATCCCTCTTCCTCGCCTGGCTGTCCCTTTTCCATGCAGAGAGAAAAACCTATACACGTGTGCGTGTGCGCGCATCTTTTGGATAACCGTGTATACGCGCGCGCATGTATCGCACACTTGGTGTTTATGTCCATAATGTACGAGTTACGAGAAGGCTTGTGTATGTGTACGTGTGTATGGTTACTCTGTGCGTATTCACGCACGGGAGAGATACTCGCACAGGCGGAACCAACTATTCGATCTCGGGGTGTCTCGGGGTGAAAACAACCCTACGAGACGAGCTCTGATTCGCGCATGCGTGCCGACGAACCGCACCATCCGTAGCCAGCGAGGATCCCAGGGGATGCTCCAATACATGCGTGTCGCGCCCGTACGCGTGTTCCCTCCCTCCGAGTTCTTGTTATTGTTGCGATTTAATGAAATGTTACGCCCGCTCGCCCGCGATTACTTTCCCATTGCACCGATTAACTCCCCATTCGACCGGTCTCGTCTCTCGCGGTGGGACACCTTTCCTCCCTGACGATCCCTGGGGCTACAACTTCCATCGGAGACTTTTGTCTACCGTGAAGCTGAATGATTGAAAGCTACCGATCGTGCGATGTCTGTTCGGGGAGTTTCATTGATTTCTACACCGGGTTATAATATCTCGTATACTACTAACCGTGAAATAATAATACGCGAAAGTAAAAGAAATCTTAAAGATATTGTCGTGCGGTTACACAGGAAAATATGAATATTCTTTATTTTTTCTTACAGATCTATCGTAAAGCGTTCCGCAACCTCACGGCGTCTGCGCCGCATCTCTCTGTTCCAGGTTTGGTTCAAGAATCGGCGAGCCAAGTGCAGACAACAAATGCAACAATCGCAACAGCACCAGCAACAGCAGCAACAACAAACCCCACCATCCAAAAGTTCTCCGAGATCGAGCCAAAATCACAGCAACAGCAGCACCGGCAGTAGGATATCCACGAGCTCGTCGACGACGCCGAGCAGACGATCCTCGCCGGATTCGCCGGCGCAGGGAGGCAGGGAGGCACCGGTGGCAGGAAACTCACCCCTGTCGACGCCTCTTCTGTCGACGCAGTCGACGTATCCGCGAGTCGGTGCGACGCCGACCGGCGGTAGTGGAGCCCACAGCAACCTGACAACCCCGTCGCCACCGTTGACGCCCAGCTCTAATCAACTGCAACCATCGAGCTATCCGGCGGCGATGAATCAGATCCATCCGTCAGAGGCGTACGGTTTCGCCTGGAGCTCGGCTGGGTCCGCGGTGAACCACAGCCAATACGCCGGTCAGGGCTACAACGCCTACAGCCAGACCCCGTACAGCGGTGACTACTATCAGGCCCAGATCCCTCACATGCACCACAGTCCGCAGACCAACTACCATCATCCGCAGTATCATCCTAATATGACCCTCACCTCGTCCATGCATCTGACTAGCCATCATCTGAACCCGGTGACCAGTCAGACTCAGGCGAGCAGCAACGATATCGCGGCCGCGGCTGTTGTCGCTGCCGCGTCGAACGACGAGACGTCCGGTTACGTTCTGCCCGAGCAGAAGTATCCATCGTTGGTATAGCGGTCCGGCAGGTCCTCCGGGATCTTTCAAACCAGGAATCAGGAAACTGCGAGCGTGTCCGGTTCCTCGATGCCCTACCACTGGCGGCTGAACACGGCGATCTGTCACGAGATCAACGGCAATCTCGACTCCGACGACAATTGATCGAAAGAAGGAGAGAAGAAAGAGGAAGGTTCATCGATGCGTTGATAAACGCACTCCAGATTCGATGAGTATAATTAAGAATCGAATGTTTCAATCATTTATATACGAATGTTCTGCATAAACGCGATGACAGATATATATATATATATATATATATATATATATATATATATATATATATATATAAAACAACGTGTCAATCCTTCGTCGCATGCGTATTTTGCTAATGCAAAGTTTTCGCAATAACGCTGTATTACACATGTGAACACTTTTTCAAGCAAACGCAGAAATAATTACTATCGTCCATTTTTTTATTGTCAGTTGATAGTTGATTCGCGCAAACCGTTTGTCGTTATCTCAAACATGGTATCATAAACGTTTTTTTGATACAAGTTCTGCTTAGTTCCTTGCAATACAGCAACTCAGATTATTATTAGTATCGGCGGCTTCAAATCGCGGAAATAAATTGCTATTTGCTTATATACTTGCATGACGTTTCTTTCGACGTCTCTGGCGTACAGGAGTGTCTTCCGAGGCGAACGATCACCGAACGATAAAACCGCGAATAAAATCACGCATTAGATAATTATTAAATTACTATTAATAATTCGATAATTATCAATAATGTTTAAGTATCATAAACTAACTGTCTCATATGTTTATGACGCACTGTTTCGTGGTTTTATCTCTTGGTAATGTCGTTTGTCATTTTATAGATTTTATTTCCCTTTAACATATCCCCTTTCTAAATTATTTCATTCTTTTTTATTCTCATGGTATAAATTAATTAATTAATTTGTGTTTAATAGCTGATTTGATTTTTACTTACGAATGTTTAAAGTGCTTTGAAAGTCTTGCATCCTTTTTTTCTTTTATACTATTAGTACAGTTTTAAGATCGTATAATTACATAAATTATAATAAAAACAAGATTATTGCATAATTTATAATAATTTCTTTCGTCTTTTCTTTGCTAATGCTTTGAAAAAAAGTGAAAAGAAAATGATAAGATGCAACGTTATCTTGCTAAATTGTTATTATATAAAATATCAAAAAATCTGTTGAAAGTAAAGTAGAATTCATTATATCATTGTCATCTGATCTTGGATCATTTCATCAATATTTTGGATTGACATTGATTTTCTAACAAAAAACCCGCAAAGTTTAGAAAAACAATAACATCAATTTCAATAATATAATGGATTCATGCATCAATGTTATATAATTTCATTTTAGCATTGTTTCATATAGTTATTTCAAAGCATTCTTTAAAACAACATAAGTAAAATTAAAAACAAAACACTACCATATATCTTTTATGGTTGACAATGATCCACCTACAAAACGCAATTATTATTTTTTTTTTAATAAGTACGCATCATCGTTCTAGTATAAATTGTTTTTTCTAATAAATATATATGTATAAAATTATCAAAATATAATTATTGAAAAATTATTAATTTGGAAAATATTTTTATATCTTTATTCTGCCATAAAATATAAAATATTTCACATTAAATATTTATATTTTTCAATAATCTTATTTTACCTATTTTTATACATAAAATAAAATTAATTAGAATTTATGTACAAAGATGTAATAGCATAAAAAATATAATTGCATATTTTGCAGGTGTATTCGCAAAATGGAACTCTTATATAATAATTAATTTTTGTAGTTGCATTTCATTGCATGTGAGAAAAGTAATTTTATATTAATGATGTTTATGTTAAACATCATTGTCATATCTCATATCTCATTATTTTATTACTGTTATTTTCTATCATCGACTGATAATAGAAATAATAGAATAAAATAATATATTGTCAAAAAAGATATCGTTCATTTGAATAATCTTATTTACTTTGTAATAATAAGAAAATATGTAGAATGTTTCGTAAACGAAGAATAATATATTTTGTTTTATTAATTTCATGAATTATTATTCTTTAGATGATTTTTTTTTAGAAAAACAAAAAAATTACTAATTTTCCTCTTTAATCACAATTTTAAGTTTATTACAGATAACGTAATGATATTTGATGTATCGAATATTATTTTATTTTGATTTGCTTTGATTTAATGATTAATAATAAAGTATATAAACAGTTTCATCATTGATAAGCAATTATTTTATTACTGATTAAGAAAATAGTAAACTTGGACTTTTTCTCTTTTTTCACTTTCTCATTATAATATTGCTAAATTTATTTTTGCTACATGTTTTTGAAACATTCTCTTGGGAAAAAAAATTAGAGCCAAACGCGCAACACTATGTATACATATTTTAAAAATATTAAAGTCGTTCTCTATATATACTAAATATTTGTATTAATATTTACATACAATTATTTTTCGTAATATTTTAGCGACACTCCTCAACAAAAGATAACGTCAATAGTTTATTATATTTTATTAATATTAGCAATAATAAAAAAAAACATCCGCGATTTATTTCAATTTTAGAAATTGAATGCAGACAATTGGCAAAACTAATTCATAATTATCGAAAAATAAAATTTTCAGCAAATCGAATATTTCCAAGTTGCGTGAATTATCATTTCTTTTCATATTTTATATTTTCGCCATAAATCCGTCAAAAATAAAATACGTATTTGTACTTCATATTTAACATTGATTTAAATTGTCTGAATTCAAATTTTATACCATATAGTGAACACTTTGAACAAATATTTTCTATATTTGAACGGCGATAAATGGATTTTTAGCAATAGATGTGAATTTTGAATATAAAATTTAATATTCGACTGATCTCAGTCTATCAAAAGGTCATATTTTGTTTTCGAAGAAGAAAGAGAGAGAGAGAGAGAGAGAGAGAGGTTTTGCCACATGTAAATAAGGTAATCATGGAAATTTTTCATGTTCTCTCCATAAGAAGTCTGTGTGCATCAGAATTTATTTTACAATCTAATCTATATAATATCCTTTGCATTTTCAAAGTTAAAAGACGAGTACTCATCACTGCCGTCTTTATCATTGATATTATCCTTATTATTATGATTATCATTGTATAGATAATTATCTCCATATCAAACACGGCCAGTAGCCGGAAAATTCTTTGTAAATAGAAAAGATAAATATGATCTCGTAAATATATATAAGAGAGAGAAAAGAAATAAAAACAGATTCGGAGTTGTATCACAAAATGACGAATAACCTCGGAGTATAAAGTGAGAATTGCCTCGTCAAAGAGAATCATCGTGTTACATAGTCGTTCCTTTTTATGGTACTCTTTGTCTGTTCGAGGGACGTAAACTTCGTAAAAGTTTGCGCCACGCTTTTTCAGGCAGAAACTTAATTATCATAATGTTTTTCTGAGAAGAGAGAGAGAGAAAGATAAAGAGAGAAGTATATACGAGGAAATGCTACTTAATCATGAGTGTATATTTCGTGTATACTACCTAATGTATATTACTCCCTGAAGCTTAGAATATATATATATATATAAATATATATATATATATATATATAATTAAAGAATAAATATATCATTAAGATTAAAAATACGATAGGAAGATAATAAAACACCGTAATGAATATTATGACGCACGTAGACCTAAGCTACTTTGTAATAATACGATGAAAATGTACATAAAACGTATATCTCTTGTAAGATACATGATTGTTCTATCATGTGCGAAGATGATCTTCCTACATCAGAAAAAAAAATATCGCATATTATTAATAAGCAGTCTCGATTAATTTTTCCCGTTCTTTTCCGGTGTCCTCCGTACCTCCCTGAATCTTCCCGAAAGATATCCATCGAATGGAGCAAAACTGCGCGATCGTTTTAAATCGAAATTTTATCGCTTCTCTCGCATACGTGCTCCGGATGGGCGCGGATTACGTTTCGAGCTGTATCTGCGACAGAGAATTTCCAGCACACGCAATACGCAATCCCTCTCTCCATTTCGTCCTGTGTGGCAGCTTTATAGATCGCGAGCGCGGTTCTTATTAATCACATTCATGTTCGCAAGACCCTACCGCCGCGGGCAGCAATTCTGCTAATGCACTTGAAATTAATTAACGTCAAAGCGACCGCGTTTCGTTATTTGAGCGACCGCGTACATATATATATCGATCTCGAACCATTAAGCGTATATTAATTACAAACTCGCGGTCGCGCTCGCTATAATCACGATGCAATGTCATCGTTACCGACTCTATTGCGCGCTCCCCAGCGTCTAATTTTTCTCTCGCGTGAAAACCCCCGCGAGGGATGCATCGCGAAATTGATAAGGGCAATTATCTCTTCCCGTCCGTTTAACTCTTAAAATTAAGAGGCATTTAAAACGCGGCCATGGCATCTCTAAATATAAATATATATATAGCTACATGATTAATTTCATTATTTAATTACACGCAATAAAAAATGTAAATATCCTACTTTATTTTCACGATTATAAGGATGAGAGATTGACTGATACACAGAAATAAAAAAAATATATATTCATTAGCGTATATAAAGGTACAGAAGGAGGAGGCATAAAGCTTCGAATCGTAATCTTTGATCGCTAAACTTTGATCGCCGTAGTCGATAACGGTCCATTAGAAGATCACAGGTGCGTACGGATTCTGCGGTATAGATACACGTACACGTGTACCAAAAACGATGATGCGGGTGATCGGAGGGTGTGCGTGTTTTTGTCTGTGTGCGCGTCAGGAGTGTGTTTCTAAATGGCCTAAACATCACAACAAAGGACCCCATGCAGGCACGAAGGAAAGCGAGAGCCGCCCTATGCCCGGCTAATTGGACAGATCGCGTACCTGTCCACCTTTTGACGACGTAATCCGGCGTCCTTTCTAGCTCATCAAATTAACGAGCTATAACGAATTGTCCGTTGCCCGCGCGCGCGCTTTGATGATCCTTTCGCATAATCGGGGGCACAAATCCTCCGCGCGACTTTCTCTTTAAAGAGGATACGGACCTCATGAAAGACACGCGCACACTCAAAAAGTACTAGTCGATTTCCAAGCTACCCGTACTGGATTTGCGCCATTTGACGCTCGTTTAAGCAATCTTGATGACAGCCGGATCGTATCTTACATCATATACAACAAATTATGTCATCGCGAAAAAATCATTCGAAAGTTTTGTGAT